GCCACCTCTCCCAGCGCCTTCGCTCGCCTGCTCCGCGTCTCATCGAACTTCGTGTACCCGTGTACCTGGACGAATTTCAAGCTGCCACGCGTCCCAATCTTCCCCTTGCCCAGTCTCCGTTCGCCACCTATCCACTGCGCAGGAGCCCTGCCTTAGCTGCTCAATTTCTCTCCATTTGGCGTGAATTTCGAGGGTTTTTTGAGGCCTTTTTGTGCTGAGCTTCATATTCCTCCGTCAGCATTCATCTTCCACGAACAGAGCAGCAAAGACAGAAGAAAATGAGGAAGAAAAAGAAAACAAAAAAGAATTTTTATTTTAAAGTTTTAAGATTTTATTTTTAGTTTTATTTTTTACTTTTTACTTTTAGGTTCGGTTTTAGAATTTTATTTTGTAAACACCATTGAAGAGAGCACTTTTTGAGCTTCAAAGAGGAGGAGATGAAGATTTGGGAAAGAGATTTTGGAGCTCGTGACTGACGTATGCATTTGGTGATTTCTTTTCAACTTTTATTCTCTTTATTTTTGTGTACTCTTAAAATGCTTGATTATTGGTGTTGTTTAATTTTTAATTTTATTATGATTTGATTTTTGCTGTTCTAGGGTTTCAATTTAGCTTCTTTATGTTGCTTTGATTTTTCATTGATTCAAATTAGTTGTGCTTGTCTAATTATGTTGGATAATTACTCTATGTGGCTTTAATGCTTATAATTGTTTGATCGCCAATTAGTTGATTAGGAAACCGTGAATCGCTACCAGAAGGGGGATTTACGTGTTAGGCCAATCAGAAAGTAACGTAATTTTAAGAGGGATAAGAATATACCAATTAGGATCATGTAGCCATTAATAAAATTTGAGAACCTAACGAGTCCTGGTTAATTTGAATATCATAAGCATATAGTTTATTACTAATTAAAATAAGATTATTCCAAATGACTACCGGGAGGGGATTTTGGAGAGCTTAGGAGATTTCGGTTTTTATTCAACTAGTCGATGCAATTGAGGCGAGTAATGGGTACTTAGTAACATAATTAGGTGAAATTAAATTCCTAGAGCATTTTATTTCATTAATTTCCTTTTAGTTATCTTATTTAATTTATTAGTTTTAACTTTAGTTATTTTTACTTTTTTTTCTTTTCTTTTTCATTAATCGGTTTGTTCGAATAATCTTAAAGTCTATCGAATTTAGCCTAAAATTAAACACAATTTCCGTTAGAACGATACTCTACTCACTCTTTATTACTTGTTACGATTTCGTGCACCGGTAGATTCCACGCAACATGTATCATGTAACAAATAACGAAATCTACAAACAAAAGCTGAATAGATAATCAACAATCTAACAATACATAAAAAAAAGCTATAGACTCTTCATAATAGTACTCTTCCCTGAGATTGCCACACGGAGGCCCCTCATTTTTCCCCTTTTTTTTTCTTTTTTTCTTTTTTTCCCTTCTTTACTTCTTTTTTTTTTTTTTTTGCGTTATATCTTTTAAATGTCTTGCTTTTTTTGTTTTGTTTTGTGAATTCTTTTTATAGTTAGTTGTTTACAAGAGTTTTTTAAAAATAATTTTTCTCACTTTACTCCTATGAAAGTAATTTTCTTCTCCATATTTTTCTATTTAATTCTTTTATCAATGGTAAAAATATATATTTTTTTTAAATGTGTTTCTATTTAATTATTTTTCGTATAATTCTTATTATATCAAATATTATCTTTATATATTTTTTTTATAGTGCTCTCACGAAGTACTTTCCATATTGTCACGTGGTAGCCTTTCCCCACCTCCGCCTTGTTTTTTTTTTTTTCATTTTTACTTTTTCTATTTTTATTTCTTAAAATGTTTTGTTCTTTTATTTTTTATTTTATACATGTTTTTTCCAGTTTAATTTTTTAGGTATGTTTTGCTGTTTTCCAATCTTATTATATTTTTGAAAACAAAAATTTGCCAAAAGGTTCTTTTATTTTAACAACTATCTATACATTTAATCAAACATCTTATGCATATAAAAGCAACCAAGTAGACATTGCACCTAAGAAGGAAAATACGTGGCCTCCTATATAACTTTAATTTTTTTTTTCTTTTTCAATCCTTTTTTCTCTTTTTTTTTTAACTTTTTTTTTCTTCTTTTCTTTTGCTTATTGACCTTTTTTTTTAGTTTTTCCACCCAACAATTTTTTACCGTTACATTTTTTCTACAATTTTCTTCTTTAAAATACTTTATTTTGTTCACTTTCTTTTAATTATAATAACTCATTTCAAATGTCTCCATACTTATTTATTTTTTTTAAAACTCCTATATAACTTAAATTCTTCTTCAAATATGATTTTTTAAAATATTTTTTTTCTCTTACTCCAATTAATGGACTCAACTTATAAAGAGTCTACGTGTTTTGACGGGGATCAAACTTACAAAATTATTTCCTCGCCCAACCAGTATAAAATAAAAATGACCGGTACTAGGTTAAATTTGGTTATTGGCTTGGAGAATACGAAACTATGGAATCAACAAATTCAATAAAATAAAAATGACCGGTACTAGGTTAAATTTGGTTATTGGCTTGGAGAATACGAAACTATGGAATCAACAAATTCATCTTCGAATAGTGATGCGATTCATTGTTGGTGGAGTAAATCTTCGTCACGAAAACTACAAAACAAAGTTAAATTTTTGCTTGGTCTATACTTGGGTCGAAATTTGCACCACAATCAAAATTGTACACGTGGATAGAATTTGGGGTAGAAAGTTGACTGAAATTGATTGGAGGCATGATCGATTTTGGCGACAGGAGACCAATGAGGGCCATCACAGATAAAACTGGAGAGAAGATTTCTTAGAGGCCACGAAGTTCAATCCAACCGAATTTTACATTAAAGGCACGAATCTAATCAATAAAGAAGAGGAAAGTAACCACAAAACAAATAAGAAAACAAGAAAGAGGAAAGTCAACTCAAAAGAAAAAGGAAACGGCTCTTTACCTATTAAAAGGATGAAGATCACAAATTCGACATGAATCCATCACATTCAGACCTCATTCTTCACATTCTCTCTCTATCTAGACTATATCTCTTGATCTCGTCCTTCTCTCTTCCTCTCTTTCTTGCTCTTATTGTAATTGTACTTTTTACGAAATATAATGAAACCCTGAGACTCTACAGAAACCCAAGACTCTACAGTGGATGTTGTTGAAAAAACGATAAGAGTTGCACAGTAGAATTTTAAATTTTTTTATTGAATATCAAAACCACCTAGGACATGTTTATGATGCTATATCGAAGCTATGGATTCCCTATCTATGAATAATAAATCTACGCATACAAGAGTCAGATCTCTAACGTACTGGTATGCGTACTTTTACATAATGTCAGAATGTCACTTTCGGGTACATCAAAAGATACAAGTCAAGTATACGGGTTTATTACTCATCTCAGGATTAAGATTGCCACATATAATTTGTCAAGAGTGAATTGTATATTCAAACGAAATTACTAATCAAAATAATTCAGCTTTGGTCCCATCCAACATAGATTCTACCACTAGGAACTATATTAATGTCTCTACTTATAGAGTCCGAGTCCGACGACCAAGACAAGCCGTCTCTGTTAGGAAGTAGATAACATAATTATTTTAACATGAATAAAGCGCCTAACTTTATTCCTTTGATTGCGGATCATATATTTAGACTATCATCTTTAGATTCATGCATGTACATGTTCTTCACAGTACATGAATGATCTAACGACTTAGAACGACAGTCTTCGACTTTTAATTTACTTATCATATGTTTATCAAATATGAATATAAAAAGGACAATACATACGTACATGAAATAAACAAACTTTATTGATAGCAAGATATCATTAGAGAATTCTTACATTTATTCATTTACTTTTCAGTAATGTTCCTGTCTTTGCACTTAATCAACTGAAATCGACTTGAGTCGACTCTGATTTACTCACCGACGCGATCGTTCCCTGGGTGCGGTTGTCCTCTAAATAAATTTAATTGTGGATTCCGACCTCTACTGTGTTCATATCATGAAGCCCTCCCCACTGCTACTTGTCTTTTCTGTAGAAATTAAATTAGGTCATTGATTCTGCCTGTTTCGCTGCTTGTTGTCTTGGTTAGGAACCTGTGAGTCATGTTATGGATAATTTATTCAATGATCTAATCATAAATCTATGGTTGAGATATTATTCTTCTTCTCTTAAGGAGACCTGAGTTCCATATCTTTGATCGATGTTTCTAACCACCCATGAAATCGTTTCTCCAAGATGAGTTTCTTCAGTTACAGAAGATTTTGGTAGCTAGTTATCAATATCTCTATTTCATGAGATTATATTTTGTCATATATTTAATGATGAACTTGATGTGTTACTGTATCTGATGCTATTGTTTAATAACATACTACATCTTTTATGTAAACAGAATTTCTACAAACAAAAGCTTACTTGTAAAAGAATTCTTATTGCCAACGAACATTTAAGAAATTATTAATACATGTAGGGGTTGTTCTTTTGGAACAAAACTCAGAAAAAATTTGAACTCGAGTTACAACTTGATTTAAGTTTATGTTCTTTTGTAAAACTCGAGTTTGAACTTGAGTTTGAACTCAAGTTTAACCCTAAATTTGAGTTCAAGTTTTTCCTTTAACTCGAGTTCATAAACTCGAACTCAAGTTAATGAACAATATTTTTTTTATTCTTAAAAATGTCATAACTTTTTCGTTTTAATTCTGATTGAGATGATTTTTTTTATGCATTCACAACGAAAAGATGAATAAAATCACTCATATACCATATTAAAATTTTTCATCACCATTGAGTTTTTATTAAAATACTATATAAATACAAATTTAAGTTTTGACTCAACTAAATACAAACTCAAAAAGATTATCAATTCAAATCATAACTCAAATATGCACATCCAAACACAAACTCAAGCTACAATTTCAACTCAAGTTATAACTTAAAATTAACTCAAAATCATCACTCAAATCACCATAACTTAAAAATGTAAAAGAACAAGCCCGTAATGTTCTTACTTTCTTCACGGGATGAAGTACAATATTAATGACATTTTTTCTTACGTTCTTACTTTCTGTAGATTATAAAAGTTGACTTGTGTTCTTGTAACAATTTGTGACGAAGGTTCTCCGTTTTCCGGCGCAGTGAAGCGTCATGAAACCGCATCAGCTGGAACTATCGAATCACGGACTCTCTCTCCAGCCTTTTCGGCCTAACCAAATAAAAGTTGTTAAGAGTCAGACGAAGAAAATAAACGGTTAAGGATCGGAAATGATAATAGAGGGAATACTTGTTTCTCCCAGTTCGTTTTTAAGGTGATTGTTAGAAAAGATAAAGCTTGCAGAAGTAGCGCACAAGCCATCCCCAACCACAGACCCTATTCAGAAACATATATAGAAGTAAAAATAGACATTATTATTTCACAGAAAAAATCACATTAGTTCTTTGCTTCTTGTCAAAATTTATGTAAGCGTGTAATATGAGAAGAGGCGTGAAGAGGAAAACCTTTCCGCCCATGTGCAAGACAAAACCCAATACGACAGCCAACGGAATTCCAACTAAATAGTATGATCCAAGATTTACATATGCTCCAATCTTTTGCCACCCACAGCCTCTAGCATTACCTGAAATAAAAATTCACTGTTTAGCCGTAATGAGACAATCTTTAATGCAAATGCTAATCTTATTAATGTTATATTTGATGAAAAAAAAGAATAAAAATAATGTTGCTATATTTTGTGCTTTCTATCTTAAATATTACATTATATCCTCTGATATATATATATATATATATATATATATGTGTGTTATTAATTGATGTAGTCCACTCCACAACATCCACCAAAATGAATTCCAATGCCTTGTTTTTTAATGTATTTAATTTCCCTTTGAGCTTCCAAAAATTGTTTAGTAAGAAACACAAGTGTTTATTTCTGATTTCTCTCATTCGGAGTATGAGCCTAACAGAAAATATCTAAAATGATGTCAGTTTTATGAAGCGAGAAAAAGTAGTAAAACCTGAAAGAACAGTCTGCAATCCATCTAGGAAGTTAGCTCCTGCAAGAATTGGCATCACAATTGCCACATATTTAACCACTTCTATGTCATTGCTATAAGCATATCCCCAGATGTTGCGTATCAGTATAATGACTAACCCCACCAATACACCCTGAGTAATGGCCATGGTCACTGCAACGCGAACCGCTAAACGAGCTGCTTTTGGATGCCCTGCTCCTAATTCGTTCGAGACACGCGTGCTGTTAACCGTAGAGGGAAAAAAAAAAACCCAATAACAAGTTATGGATTGAAGTATGTTTTTCCATGTTCTAGCATTAATGGTACAAAATCAAACTTCAAGTTAAAAGGTCAAAAAATGCTTAAATTATGCTCAGAGTTTGATTGCTTGTAACAAAATTATAAAGTTGGCATGTGAAATAAATAAACTCTGTATAAGGAAAGATATTAATAATTCTTTATATCATTAGCTCACCTCACGGCAGAACCAAGTCCACAAGGGATCATCCACACGGTTGAAGCAGTGTTTAAGCTAGAAATGAATTTAGAGAATGTGAGTAGAACTTCAAGTTTCAACTGTACATCACTTCAGTATCACGTTTTAAAAACTTACATTATGGAAAGCATAGAGGTTTCTAACTCTGGATTAGGAAGTCGGCCACATAGAAAAACCATTATTTCGTAAGACCACATTTCCATGCTGATCAATAACACGTGAAAGGAAAGCATTAGAATCGTCAAGACTAAGGCCGCGTTAATTTCACCAATTTGAGTTTAGAATTCGAGTTTTGTTACAGTAAAAAACTCTCAGAAACAGTCACATCTAACTTTTTTGTTACAGTAAAAAACTCTCACATAAAGTCACATCTCAACTCGAATTAAAAACTCAAATCAACGAACTAAACGAGCCATAATTGTGTAAAATCATAAGTTCCCTGAGAAATATTCTGCTCCTTATACACCGTTACGCGGGTGACACCGAGAAAATACAACTTACCAGACCATGACTGCTGAAGGAATGGCAAGTCTAAGAAAAGTGAGAATGTTTCGAAAGGCCTGCCTGGAGAATCCTGTCCAAGTTTTGGAACATGAAGAAGAGAACTTAACATAAAGAGCTAACAATAGAACATTGATCCAATAAGATATGGAGTTTGCCAAGGCAGCTCCTCTGCTTCCAAGTCCAGATTTGAATACCAGAACCCAACACCAAAGTACATGCAGCAAAGTTGAGATCCCAAAGGAAACCACAATTGGGAAAACAATGTTTTGTGTTGTTAAGAACTTGACAAGGCATTGAAGAAGACCGAAGGCGAATATGCTCGGGATCATGAAACGGGCATATCGACCGGCTTCTGCCGCTATATCAACATCTTGACCAACGAGAATTAGAATAGGTCTTGTGTTTGCCAAAACAACAGCAAGAGGTATGCAGACAATTAAAAGAACAAACATGGCTCGCTGCATATGTATGCCTATCATATGATATTCCTTTGCCCCATATGACTGCCCTGATAAGGTCTCCAATGCACCGGCCAATCCCAGCTACTTACACAAGCAACAAATAAAAAAAATAAAAAAATTAATGGAGGCCTGTATCATATGAAAATAAGAAAGATTGTTAGCTTGAATTGCACTCAAAGCAGAGGCCGAGCCACGTTAGGTTTGGGGAACTCTTCCCTCACAAAAAAAAAAAAAAAAAAAAAAAAAAAAAAAAAAAATCTTACAGATTTTCTTTTAATATTCCTTCTAAAATTTTCTACTTTCAAATTTTTTTTTTTTTTTTTTATAATTTTTAAAAAACTTATATTACCTCCTATTGAATTCTGAATGGACGTTGGGCCTTAGAGCCGAAATTTACCGATTTGGACATTGATCTTCATCAGTATGACTACACTTAACCATCTATTTTACCGTCAAATTAACGGAAATTCCAATATTTTAGTTGGTTGAATAGAAGTTGTTGTTTTCAGTATTTAGTGACCATTAGTGCGTGTTAGTGGCTGAAAATTAGGGTGTGTGAGTTACAGCCTTATTGTAGCTGATTACAGTCATTAGAGGGTTTATTCCAACCATTTATTTTGTAATTTTTAGAATTATATGGCAGCTTGTCATTTTTTGGTGTTAAACTGATGTTTCTCAGCCTAAAAGCTTTGAATTTCTTATTTTGGCGGATTTCCAAAGTGGTCAGCACAAAACCTAAGGATGGTGATCAATTATGTATCCCTTAGCCAATTTATCCCTTATTTCATTTTTTCAAACGTTTTTTGCCTTTATTCTCTGTTTTTTTTTTTTTTTTTTTTAAAAAAAAGGCCTTTCTAAACATTTTCCCATACCCATATTCTTATTATCTGATTCTCATGTCTCTTAAGAAATACGGTAGATGCATACGGTCGTTTTCCATTTAATTTCTACAAAAGTTCTAACATACATAAGGTGTTAAGTGGGACAAATTATGACACCGTTCATTTCACCGATTCGAGTTTAGAATTTTAATTTTATTACAGTAAAAAACTCACAAAAATAGCGACATCAACATTTTTATTACAGTAAAAAACTCTCACATAAAATCACATCTCAACTCGAATTAAAAATTCGAATTAGCAAACTAAACGGGCCCTAAAAATTTAAAGAATAATATGAGAGTTTTAAAGTTTAGGGGTAAAATGAGAATTATTCAAAATTTTGGGGTACAATTTTCTTTAAGATGTGCTTTTCTATCTCCAATAATTGTGTGAACAGGAAGCAATGAGACATGCAGCAACAAAAAAGGACTCAGCAAAATTCAAAAAAAAAAAAAAATTTTCAGCAAATTAAATCTGACGCCTAAACAAAAGGCGTCCAATGATCTTGCCATCGGTCTGAATAATTGAAGAGAAATAAAAAGTATTCAAGAAGGATGGTATGAGAAAACTATGAAAATCCATGGCTACAATACAACTAAAACAAAGAAATAATTTCTAAATTGGACTCTTTTCTATATGGTGAATTTGTCTATTTTTGTTGAGCATGTATAGAAAAATAAAGAGATTTTAATTTTAACATAAACATTCCTTTTTTTTTTTTTTTAGAGATCAATATTACATGATCAGAGAGAGGGATTTCCAACTCACCAACAAGCTGAAACCGACGACTGTTGCCATGGAAGTGGCCATGGCAGCACCAGAGAGATATAATTTACCGAGATGACCAACAAACATTACCGATACCATCTGAACGAAATACAGAAATAAACCAGCAAAGATCATAGGTCCTGCCAGCCAAAACTGCTTCTTCACTTCTTTAAGAATTTCCTTTCTCTTGCTACCCTTTTCATGAACTCCCTCATCACTTCCATTAATGCTGAGCTCATTTTCTTCACAAACTTGAATCGATGTAGCGCTTAAAGCTCCTGGTTTATGATCCTCTCCCTCCATTTTACTCTTCAGAAAGAGGAAAACGAGAGATTATCTTTTTTTTTTTTTTGCTACGTTAATGTGGGTGTGTGTGTGTATAATATAATATATATATATATATGCTGAAAGTTTGTGGAACGGGAATGTTATATATATATATATATAATATGTGTGTGTATATATGTAATATGTGTGGGTGTGTGTATATGTGTATATGTGTGTATACACATGGTCTGATTTTTCGGATATTGCCAATTAATTTGCCATGAGTTAAGTGGTAAGAAAATACTGAGCTGTTTAGTTTATTAATTAGAATTTTTAATTTAAATTTAAATGTAATTTTATATTAAAATTTTTTATTATAATAAAAAAATTAAAGGTAACTTTTTTAATAATTGATTAAGCTTTTAGTGCTGCCATATTATTGACTGTATATTCCATCTGACACTTGGTGTGCGCCATCTGTCACGTCATAGTTGATCACTTTAACCGGAGGTGAAAGACGAATATACCCAGCCACTTCAGTTGCGATTTGATTTTTTGGGGCTATTAACACTGTTAGTTCTAAATTATGAGCATGGACACAATATGGTCGTTTAACTTTTAATTTAACAGATTAGTCCTGAAATTTTTTATTCTATTAAGTTTGGTGCCTAAACTATAATTAATATAGGATTTCGAAAATTTAATACACATTCTCATTATGTAATAATTGAAGAACTTGTATAAATAACATTTGCAAAAATTATCTGTTTACTCTATTTTAATAGTAGTAAAGAAATCATTTTGCATAATATTTAATTATTTCAGTAAAATTTCAATTTATCACCCGATAAATAAATGATTACCTCCATTAAATTTCAAAATCTTTCATTAACATTGTTGTCGAGGATGTAAACTATCAAAAAAAAAAAAAAAAACTTACGTAAAAGATAAAAATACACCGTCTAAAATACCACATGCGCACTACAAAAAATAGATGATTTAGCGACTCATTTTAGACGATGGCTTTAGATGATACCATCGCCTATTTTTTTTATTAAAAACACAGCATGGAAATCAAAGTCCGACGTAGGAGAATAGATGACGGTTTCTAAAAACCGTCATCTAACGTGTGCGCATACTTCAAATTTAGTAATGTCGCTCTCTTTGTCTAAAGCACTCTTTCAAAACCACAATCTCTTTTTCTCTCACAACCTCTGTCGCCGTCCAACCATTCCTCTCGTACCCCTCTCTCTTTCTCTCTCTCTTTCTCTCGCGAACACTGCCTCTCTCTCTCTCTTTTGTGAACCGTCTCGATGCCCAAAGACACACCGCCTTCCATCTCCAAGCCCGCCGTCGCCTTCTGCCTCTGAGACATGTCGTCACCTTTTGCCTCCGAGACCTGCCACCAGCCTTACGCCTCCAGCAACCACCTCCCTCCCTGGTTTTAGGTTTAGTTTTTTTAATATTTTCCAAATTTATTAATTTTTTAAGTGGTTGACATTAGACGACGGTTTTAGGTTTTTTTTTTTTTTAGGTGATTATTAGATGATGGTTTTTTTCCTTAGGTTCTATTAATTGATTCTTAGATGTTTAGTTTTGGAAAACTTATTAGGATTAAGTTTATTTATATAGATCCATATATGTTGATTGTTAGATTAGGTTAGTTTATGTTGATTAAAAATATTTTTTTTTGTTATTTAACTTATTTGGTTTAAATATTGATTTTTAGATATGTTTAGTTTTATTTGAACATGTTTTTTGTTAAATGTTGATTAGCTTATGATTAATTTTATTTAAATGTGTTAGATTCTTAAAAAATGCCGGGACGTGATGCTTTTGAACAAGAACAAAATACTGAGCGTGATTTTTTCGGGGTTGAATGCACTTCAAATGACGTTGAAAGATTTGAAGTTAATGAAAGACAAAGATTTGATTCGGATGCGGATGGAAAACGAAAGACAACCATTGAGTTGTCAAAATTAGGGACAAAAGAGAAAGAATTCAAGTTGGTTTTGACGAAAAGGGCAACTAACTTGGAAGAACCTGGGACGAGCTATCAAACTATTTAGGTGATCTCGCACGTGAATACGTGCCAATAAAAATAACAAATTGGAGATTAAAAGAAAATAAAGTTAACATAGAGCGCATTTGACACAACCTCATTGCGAGTTTCACAGTCCTGGTGTCTTCAACAAAATCTCTGGGTGCGTTTAGAGTAAAGATTCGTGTCATGATTCGTAATTCGTTATAGTATTTTTTTTCATAAGAAATATACGTAAATTAAGAATAATTCTGAATTATAATTCTGAATTTACGAACCAAAACGTCCATTTATTACATATGCTTTGCAGGTCTTTCTCCTTCTCGTTTTTTTTTTTTTTTTTTTTTATCTACGTTAATGTGGGTGTGTGTATATGTGTGGGTGTGTGTGTGTGTATATATACACAAACGGGAATGTTATCCACAGATATATATAATATGGAACGGGAATGTTATTTATGGAACTGGAATGTTATGGCTTCGTTCACTTTGCGGATTTGAGTTTTTAATTTGAGTTGAGATGTGATATTTTTTGAGTGTTTTTCACTGTAACAAAAAAAATTAAATGTGACATTTTTTAAAAATTTTTTACTGTAAAAATTCAAAATTAAAAACTCAAATCGGTAAAATAAATGAGTCATATATATATATATACATATATATAATATGTGTGTGTATAATATGTGTGGGTGTGTGTGTACAGACAGGTGGTCTGATTTTTCGGATATTGCCAATTTGCCATGAGTTATGTGGGAAGAAAATACTCTTACGCTTTTAGTACTGCCAATTATTGACTGTCTATTCATCTGACACTTGGTGTGCGCGGTCTGTGTGACGACACGTCAGAGTTGATCACTTTAACTGGGGTTAAAGACGAATATACCCGGCCACCTCAGTTGCTATTTGATTTTTGGGGCTATTAACACTGTTAGTTCTATAAATTAAACTTAAATTAAAAAAAAATTAAATATGATTATTTTTTAAAATTTTTTATTGTAATAAAATTTAAATTATAAATTTAAATTGGTGAAATAAATGAATCTTTAATTTAACAGATTACTCTTGAAATTTTTTATTCTATTAATTTTGGTTCCTAAACTATAATTAATATAGGATTTCAAAAATTTAATATAGATAATTACATTCTCATTATGTAATAATTGAATAACTTACATAAGTAACATTTGCAAAAATTATCCTTTTACTTGATTTTAATAGTAGTTAAGAAAACATTTTACATAATAATTAATTATTTCGGTAAAATTTCAATTTATCACCCCATAAATAAATAATTACCTCCATTAAATTTCAAAATCTTTCATCAACTTTATTGTCGAGGACGTAAACTATCAAAAAATAAAAATTCCGAGAGTAATACGTAAAAGATAAAAATAAATAGTCTAAAGTACCACGTGCTAACTACTACATCGCAATCATTTTTTAAAGTTCGATAGTGCTTTCTTTTTAAGCGGATCCAATCATATCACTGCATCTTGTTTGGTACAAATAATAGCCAATATCTAAAAAAAGGGGATCTTAGTTTGATTGGCGGCTGCCAATTCCTCTATTTCAATCTCCGTTTGGCCCGAAATATAGGAAATGATCATCGATGACATGGTCCCAATAAGAGAAAACTATTAAGGAAATGTTTAATTTATGAATTAAAATTATTTTTAATTTATGTGTATTTTTTATGAGAAAAATTATTGTAACGAATCATGAACCATGATTCAAATCATGATATGAATCCCTTTATCAAACGTCTCATAACTTATTGCACACATGCTACAAGTAACTACATGAAAAAATGACAAATTTAGGAATAAATACATTAATAATATTAAGTATAAATTGCAAAACATGTTTAGGGATAATTATATTACCACATGTAAGTTATAATGATTTTGTTTGGAATTGATCTCATTTTTGTTCTTCATGTTTTTTGAGAAAGACAAAATGAAAACATTTTTAAAATGAGGTTTGGCGCAATAAAAATAAAAAATGAAAATGAAAATAATTTTTTAGTTTAGTGTAAAATGAGAGAGAAATTAAAAAGGATTTTAAGTCGTTTTTCATTTTTTATTTTCGTTTTCTTCTCTCTCGAGCATAGAGAGAGAGAAAGAAAGACATTAATGGGTTTTTTTACACTGAAAATAATCTCTTAATAAAACTGTCAAACGTATTTTTAAAAATGATTTATGTCTAAGATTAAGAACGTTTTTATTTTTATTTTCATACAAAATATAAAATCATTTTGAAACGAGTTCCAAACGTGCTCAATACAACCCACGCCAAATTGTTGATTGATGCTAAATAATTCAATGTCAAATTCTACATATGAGTAATGTCTTACGGCATGTCAATCATAATCGTGCCTCAGGGGCTCATGGATTGTAGCACATATATCACGACATAGTTAAAGTCTATGATCAGTAGTCCTTGCAAGTTATCATGAACAGGTTGTGCTACTTCTCTAGGCCTCGTGATTGCTTGTCTCTTTCTTGATTTCTTCTATCTTTCATTTTTTTTTCTTCTCCGACTCAGTGGGTTTATCCATCTGTTCCTTCCAATCAGAGCTTTGCTAGTTTTACTCAACGCCGTTCTTGATTTCATTCATCAGGATAGGTAGAAGTGCACCTCTTAAATAACAAGTTTGCATTGTGATGCGTACATTTGAGCCCCCAAGTGAGATCTTTTGAACATTGGTTGGGGACTATCCATCAATGCCTTCACCATCGTAGGAATGATACAATTATCGTCGCCATTTGCTAAAAATAGAAAAAAACATCTTCACCAAGTCTTGACGAGGGCGGCTCTGTTGTTGGTGTAGTAATAGAGTCGGTACAACTCTCCTTAATCCTTCATTTAAGGATAATATTTAAGGATAATAATCAAAATAAATCTGTAATGAATTTAATTAAACTTTAGAATCATTAATTAAAACATTATTAATATGCGTCATTCCTATTAAGAATGGAATGAGCTTATCCAAATCGTTGATATAGAGACATATTGAGTGAGTTTATTTTGCATAATGAGATTATCCAGGACTGG